CCTAAAGTTTCGGTTTCATTCATCCACATCGAGAGCAGTATGTGTGAAGCTGGGGACGACTGCACACAGGTTCTTCATCATTTTCCATATTTCTCAGCGATTTTTCTTTCCAAATATAATTTGCACATAAATATGTTTAAGGTGGCGCAAGTCATTTTTAATACCAGTGAGCAAAAACTTTACGGAAGCAATGTGTTTATGCTTGAAAGCTTTATTTCGAGTTGGCGTAGTCTACTAAGGCACGGAAATTAGAACATATCTGCGCGAATGAAAATGGTTTCCAGAGGACAACAAATATCGAAGCAAAAGTTCAGATAGCTAGTTAACTGATTCCATTATTTCGATATATCAGTTGTAAAATGCATTGAAGTCTGTAAAGGCAATAGTTTCGCTAATTAGCTCAATGTTGCTACCTTTGCAGCAGATAATATCATTGTGCTTCGTTTTGTAGTAGCTACTAGGAGATAATTTTACGGTGGTATGGTCTGAGCTATCTAGCGGTGCTTTGTTACAGACTGAAAACGTTTTTATGTCATGACAGACACTGTCTAGGGTTGTCTGTGTTCTGGTTGCAGACTGTACGATGTTCTTCCGTCCAACATTGGTAATAAAACTGGTGCCGTATCGATTGAAGTCACCGGCAAAAGTTGTAAATGAAAATCCAGATATTCAAGGACAGCTATAGAACAGCTAGGAGGAATGTAAATGTGGACCTGTAGAAACGAACGGTAGGCGCTCTAGTTTCTTAGCTTGCATTTCACAGTCAAATAGCTTACACAATACGAATGACAATGAAAAATTATTCCCATCGAGGTGTACTGTGTTATAACTGTTTCTTAAACGCGCCACGTGTATAACGGACTGGCACGACTCCTCGTTGAATGAACGGACTCGGGATGGAATGGTACAACACTAGGATAAGATAGCCGATGGAATTCGAATTCGTACGCCCGGTGACTTAGATGCAACACGGTTCTACAAGCAGGTTGAATGGATTCCTACTCGGACGCAGACTTCACACGCGACTACGTAACCCAGAAAACAGCGTAAGAACAAAGACAGTCCTTTTGCCCCAGGCACTTTTACTATCCAGGCCAAGGCGACTACAGCACAGTCCAGGTTTGTTTATATACTGCGATTGTGAAATATGTGAATTTTCACCTAAGACGGTTTGCATAAGCAAATCCTGGAAGCAAGGCATAAGCAGGTCATTTGGCACTGTGTAAATATGTCAACGGAACATGCTGCGAAGTGAATGTTGGTAGATGCGGGGGCTGGAATGGAAAAATGAATGTTTCCTGGGTAAAAAAGCTGAATGCTTCATGATTACGGAGGTTGGCCGGAAACAGGAATGTTTTCTGAGATACAAAGACTGCTCGGAACCTAATAGTCTTACGAGTTGGAAGACTGATCGAGACATATGCACAGGTCTGAATTCGAGTCTCCTTGCCTTCCGTGGTTCCAGCTTGCGATTTTGTGGGGACGTTGGGTCCCCATAACACACATACGAATTTATATGTCCAATGAGGCCATCATTATGGTGTTTGTGTGTACATGGGTGGTCAACACGATATGCCGCATATTCGTCCACTGCCACAAACGCATCTTCCACGTCTTCGTGCAGGCAGGTTTCTTGTAGCATAAGGACACCGATTTGAGAGCATTCACGACAATTTGTTATATTTTGCGCTCTTCAAATTGTTTCACAAGCGGACGGATAATAACAGTGATCAAAATAGGTATGTCCAGAGAAATGCGCTTTTTCCTTCGAAGTGCAACTTTCCATCATATAGCTGCTTGGTTGTGGAACTACTTTGTTTCTTTTCCCTCTTCTCTATTTGTTTCGTATAAGTTGAGCAGGGAAAAGTGTTAATCAGAACAAATCTTAGCGAACAAGCTCGTTTTCAGTGGTTCCTCATCAGGCTAATACACCACAAATGAATGGCATGAATGTAAGCATCAGATAAGGGTACAGGTTCAAAAGCCAGATGGTCTGAGTGACCGAGCTAGGTGATTGGCCCCACGGCGATCAAGAGTGTATTTCTGTGTGTGTGGCGTTGTGCACGCTATGTCTTCGTGTTAAACGGGACCAGGGTAGAGTTAGTGCCTGGGCAAATTTCTTGTACGCACATAGGTCAGGGTTATGAAGCCTGATGGCTTTTGCCTCGGCCGCTGCCGATAGACGACATCTAACCGCTCTTGTGTGGCATCTGGGTACGCGGTAGGTGGACTGGAACGCCTCATGCGCTCTAACTCGATGGCTGGATTCGATCAGGTGCATAGAAACTGCGCTGGCTACTGATCTAGTCATGTTGATGAAATCCACAGATTTGTTTCAAATGTCGCGACCGTAGGTAATCATAACATGAATTACACGATGGAAGCATGATGAATTTAAACAAAGGGGTAATCTAATCACGAAAACAAGTGTGTATGCTGCTAAATCCAATCAGAAGGATTGCAATTAAGAGTCTGATTAATTTGAACCATCGCTGTTCTGGGGTTGGTCTACACAACTCCACTTTGGCCTCTCATCAAGCTGTATGGTGACTCCAAACCCAATATGCAGTGAAGACACACCTCTGTTCGATGAACCCAAGCCTTGCTAGTTTTGCACTACCGGGAGATTGTTGTGTGCAATTTTCCGAGGTGTGAATGTTAGAACCGGGTTGCAGTGAAATGATTGTGCCATGGCTCTTTCCACTGTGGTGCTACGCAGCACACCTATCCGTCTCAGACACCAGATTCACTCTTCATTGGAAGGGATGTTTAGTACTCGAATGGAATCCGTACTCGACGTGGCATATCACGTACCATGACATAGCCGTAGCTGATTATCATTACATAGGCAATCTTAAACCGTTAATCTAGGTGTTACCGCATTGCGCAACTTGTCGCTGCATGGTTCGTTTCGGCTTCATACGCCAGAGCTTGCAGCAGGCAGCATGTCCCATCGACCTCATTGAATCCTTCCGTCGCAGGGGATTAGATCTGCCGAACGCATTATCTCTAGCCATCAACTTTATATTCTGCTCCTTTCGCGCCTAGTGTATAGCTAAAAAAGTTGCTGTACACAGTTTGGAATGCGATGTGCCAAAAGTGATTCGGTGGGATAAGGCCGAAATATTTGTGATTGAGGCTCAATCTTATCACTTACTCGATGGAGATGTAGGTGGTAGTTTAACATATGTTAGCTTACAACTCGTCTCGGAGATTCGGCCATCGTTCGCAGCGGCCCAGCGTTCTTGCTCACTGCCACGAGGCTGAGGTTCACGGATTCTATTCTGCCCTGTGACACACTACTAACAATTTCAGAAAGCATATAAAGGCCTTATAATCGCCTACTGAGGATATGGTAGCTGGCTGACTGCACAGCGTGCCAAAGAAATTGATTTGTAAAGGAACCCAGACTCATTTGAATCCGTTTTTAAAATGCGGTGTATGGAGCAAACGAGGTAGCATTAAAGAGGTGCGTCTCCTAGGTAAAACTATGGCTCCCACTACCTTAAGGTAAGTTATCGTTAGGCACATGGTTATATTGAGTGACTTTGGGGCCCCGACGAAGTAATATTACGGAAACATCTAGTAACTATGAAATCTTGGAACATACAGTCAGCTACCTCGCTATCGTCACTGTGTTGGCTTCTTACTACCAGTGCTGACAGAATGATTGGAAGTTCCGCTTCGAGTTCATGTGACAGCATGTATGCAGTGTTGAGTTATCCCTCCGATAATCAAAACGAACTCTTGGCAACGACCAAAGTGTCTTTCTCATGAGCCATATGACTATTTGTACTGTACATAAATTCATAGTGCTATTTCAATTAAGCAACTTCCCATCTGTTATCTCCCATTGTCTCCCGCCATATCGGCTGTCTATACTTCTGGCTCGCACTCGCCGTTCGTCTACCGTGATTGATTCAATTCACGCCCGCACTACTTGGTGCCATGTTAAGCTTGACTCATACTGCTCCGCGTCATTTCAGTGTCACCCAACCGGCCCGTGTACTCCTGGCTAGCTCATGTTGGCATAACTTGATTAGACCAACGTCTACTCGGTTGGCCGAACGCCACTGAGCCCCATGTGGTCATCCAAACTTTGTCAGCGCGCATGTGCTGTTCACTCACTAGAATTCCTGCCAATCAGGTTAGTTGTTGTCTGCGACCATGCCGCTCTTCGGTCTTCTTACACTGGGTTTATTCTGTTTTGCCCACCTGACCCGCGCGATTGTGGCCAGCTGGCATGAGATGGTGTTTTAATGGCTTGCTGTTCGCCGGCAAATGGAATCAAGTGGCTGTTGAGTTGTAAGCCTAACGCATACCTTTATGATACGCTCTCAAAAGTTCGGTTTCACAATACTCTATAACGCGGGGCATTTCCGGATGGCACGACTCGAAATCACACCTTCTTCACACCAGCCGCTGTGAGTGAGGGAATCCGACTAGTAGTGAAGAGTAGTCCAATTAGCTTAAATTCATAGCTCGATTACCCTTACCTTGTTGTTGCTGCTTGGATATGCACAACTATGCAGCTTATCGTCCGCAAGTAGCATTCTAATGGTTGCGGGCTCCAACTGCGGTTCATTGTCTGCCGGTCGCATCAATAAAGGAAAACTCCATCTCGATAACTACGTGGTTTAACTGTGTATTTGTGGTTAACACATCATTAGCAGAATTTAGACGGCCAGCTGTGACCAGTTCGAATCACAGAGCACTTTCGAACGTAGCACCACTTGGTACGTTTGTCATCTTGTGCCGTCCTCTTGGGGAAGCGCGAATTGAAAGTGAAGTTTCTTTCTCATTCCATCCAATGTGCTGTGCTGGTTAATGGTGCACTCACTAAATGCTATGAAATGCTCGCTGCGTTTGTAACACGCCTTTACGTCCGTTCTTAAATTTTTAAGCTCCGGGCGATTCCGAGTGGTGGTAATTTATCTAACGACGACTCGCCTTTTCTAAAAGTGGCTGCATAAGGTGTAAACCACAAACTTAATTTTCAGAATTCTTCTGGACAGTGGTGCGCATTTGGAAGACACGGACAATTCCGGACGAACTGCTCTCCTGATTGCCTGTGAAAATGGCCAAGTGGAGGTAGCGAAATTGCTCATCACCTACTCCGCTAATGCGTCCACCACATGTTCCAGTCCATCGCAGTCGGAACCTCCCGCCTCCGTTGCCCTGCCTGATCATATAGGTCTGCAGGCACTAGGATCCCTGGGATCGAACCATCCACCTGTCACTGGTGGTGGTGGTATCGTGAACCAACCGTCTCTGGATCATGAGACACCGTTAAGAGCTGCAGCTTTGGCCAACAACATCGATTTGGTATCGCTCTTATTGTCCGTCGGAGCTGATCCGGATTACCAGGTAAAAAGGTGACCTAATTCCTCCACTATACATCCTTCACCAAATGTTTTCGTAACCGACGCACAAATAAGACTTTTGTTATTCTTAGAATTAATTTTATTATTGCGTGTCCTACGAGAACTCCGTTTTCTTCGCTTTAGCTCCAAATAGAAGTTAGGCTATAGTGAGTGTTTTTTTTGAACTGTCATATGCACAAGTGTCGGCGACCCCTTGTAGTTTTGACGGTCGTCAGTAAGATCGATATTTTGTACTTTGCCTTGTACTCAATTTGCCCTATTTCTGCTCGCCCGTTAGCATTTATCATTCGGCGGTGTCGTTTGGTGAACGACCCATCGTGCCCTCTATCATGGGACCCAGTGTATTTTGTATAGATTCCCAAGGCCAAATGATAACTGTCTCGATGACAGTAGACGCACCAATTACATCTTGCTAGCCTTACTCTAAACTGACACAGATAAGGTAAAAAATGTCGGTTAAATTTACACATTCCTTCAGCATTCCCATTTGAGTAGCAAACCCTGAGTGATACCTCTCTCACAGCCGAATTTTGTCATAAAAACAAGTGCGTGTTCCACTGAAACTACAGGTGTCTCGTGAATTTTGGGGTCTCACTGAAGGTCAGTGATCATTGTGAGCACATGAACAGCTTACTGATTAGCACCATTATAGTGCTTTTGTTCATCTCATCGTAGATGATCGACCAGCACCAGGTGATAATAGTCGTATATCACAGGACCTCCCTTTGATATCCAAAACCAAGGTGGTGGAGGAGCGGCGTGGACTAAATTCGGATACATACTCCAGTCTCTACATTCCGAAGGATAGCACTCTGTACAGCCGCAATCCTCAGTTACTTTTACTTGACTGGAGTTGCAACCGAGTTTCGCTAGGGGGTAGCATATACTTGTGTGAGAGCACGCAATGTTTGGCTAGTTTGCCTGTACGAACTCGTCACTTAATCGTCGGTAGCATGCACTGTGCACTCTGGGTCCCCTGAACTCCTACTGGTATGCAAGATGACGCAACCCCTCAATCTTTTTTGTCATCAATGTTGTGAGGGGTGTAAAGCAGCAACGTCACACTTGTAGTGGCTTTGTGAATCGCATATTCGATGCGCGCGCACGCGATAGGTGATGGTTCAACTCTTTTACGGGTCCTCTACAATCGGTCTAAGTGTAATCTGCCTCTTTTTAAGGCTGACTCGGATTGTTTTGAATGGCTGAGACCATCCTGCACTGGCTCATTGTGGCTTGTTTCCTGCAAATCAACCTATGGATCGTGTGCACCGAGCATATAACTGTGGGTGTGTCAGTGGCGAATCCGAATAGCAGTGTTTGTTCATGTGACCCGTCGGTTTGCAACATCCCCAAGTGCATACCATAGCATCTCCTAGACTTCCAACCTCTTTGCCGAAGAGCAGAAGGTTTGAGGTATTAACTTTTACCAAACCGAGAACAGGTGCAGTCCTAGTGAGAGACTGTGTGACACACCGCACTGTACCCCATTTGAGCATGCCATTGATTCCCAAACCTCTGAACTCATGACTACTCAATCGGTTCCAAGTATCTTCCAAGAATTTGATTCTCAGACTACTTTCTTCAAGCATCTTTCTTGGGGAACACCATTTATCCATCCTGGCGTGGAACTATTGTTATCACAAAAAGTGATGCAACGAAACAATTGCACGATTGCCTTACCAACCTCAAGTAGATGGTATGGAGTTTCAGCCCACCTGATCCCGTGTCCAATCTATAGGTTAGTGGTACACGATCGGTGTTGATGAATATCACACAGTTTCGATAAAATGACATTATCCCCTCCCATCATTTTATCCGCGATGCTCCTTTATAACCGTATAGAGCGCTGTAATTTGTGTTACGGGGTGGTACTTTGCAGATCGACAAGGACTACTTAAAAATAGGACCACTTACAGTCCGCGTTGGGGATGATGTGATACCAGTTGCACGCTTCCGTGGCCAATGGGCTTCATATTGTTTGATGCTTAGCCTTACTCGGGTTTGGTTGTGTCCGACTGCAGTCTCATAAAATGTCTATTGCGGTTGCTATCGCCACTATCCTAATTAATGCCCTCACATGACTGTTAATCATCCCACTGATGATCAGCCGCACATTTTTCATGCCACGCTCCATGGAGAAGAGGTCCAGAAATGCAACTGGTTGCGGCTCAGTGTGCAGACTTCCTCCGATCACACACACAAACAACAGCGCAGCAACGGTTCATTACTGGTGAAAACCTCATGCTGGATAAGATGTGTAGGTTAACGAAGCAAAATCATTCAAGTCAACAATGCGCTTTATGTACCCATGAAGAGTACGTATTCAACTATCATACACAGGCTAAGGGCACAAATAAAATCAAACAAAAGCATAACAAATTTATATGCTGCGGCACCAAGTTGAACTGGTGGCAGATGTGATATCTAGATTTAGTCTGGTAATAAGCTCTTGTTTGCCTGCATCTTGATCTCTTAGAAAACGTGACAAATAGGGAACAACTGACGCACCGTAGGCCTGTGTGAGGACATAAATTACTGTACCTTCATCTGCTCAATGGAATCGAGATACATACCAACAATTCATGTAGGAGGTGACGGTCATCAGTGAATATTTTAGGCGCCATGTTTTCGCAGGCGCAAACACGATTAGACACAATGCAAGCAAACAGTAACATTGAAATTCTGCTGCATCGGGCAAGATACTTCAGTGACCTGTTGATCAGCTTGGATTGCCCGTTTGGTAGTCCAAGTGCGGTATTACGCAAGCGGTGACAAACCGTAAAATCAAGTATTTGGACCCGGATGAAGACCTAAGCCGAGAGACAGAACGTTAACCTACTGACTTAAGTGAATGTTTCATTCACGTGCTTGGACCATGTGAGGTTCCGAGTTAATGTAAAGCCTAATGTACAGGAGTTCAAACACACAGTCAGTACTAAAACGTGGGATGTGGGTGAGGAGTTGATGATAGACAGCGAAGAAAGAACATCTTTACAGTTCGATACGTAAAGACAGCGGGATTTAGACCAGTTGGTGAGGTTTTCCAAGAAGAATTGCGAGTTGGACGATGAATGTATGGTTTGATTGTGTAACCAAGGCTCACATCACAAACATACTTCAGCAGGATGGCTTCGTTTGGAGCGAGAATTGTGTTGCTGTAAGTGATAAACAGGAATAGGGATAAAATAGCTCGCTGAAGAACACGCAAATTGTGATGGGTGAAAATGAGCTTTTCCCTTCAATCTTGGTAAACTGCGTACGGTTGGCAAAGTAGTCCGTAAGAAAGGCACTAATGGTGATTGAAATCCGGAAATCAGCATATCCTGTAACAGCAGCTTGTGTTTTACACAACCGAAGGCATTGCTGTAATCTAAAAAGCAGATCTGCGTGGGCTTGTTTTTACTGTCATGCTAAAGGTGCCAACGCTTCAATGAATTCACTTTAAGGTTGATATGTGCACACATTTCGTCATCATTATGCTGTGAGCCGAAAGACTCGGGGGTAAACACAGGATTGATGCCGTAGTACATCGTCAAGTCATATTTTTTAATACGGATAGTGTAGGAGCAGTGCAATACAAGTAGAAATTATGTTCTACGACTGACACACACAAAGGGAAGAAGAGTTCCTGCAGCTTCTTAGCCGTGTATCCCGCGAGTCTAATTTAAACTGCTGGGCTCACAGACTGACGTGGGTGATATTCAATAACCGACAAAAAGCGCAGTTTGGATTCTTTCGGTTCTAATTTTCGATGAAAGGATTAGCCTCACAGATGGTGGTGTTGTCCACCGTAAACTCCCTTGACGTTCAGTCTAAGTTGGTAGGAGATAAAACAAGCCCTTGACGTTCTTAGCCATCCTTGCGGAGTCTCAAGCAAAGAAAGATTATGCTGCCAGATTTGAACGGCGTATTTCACTAGGCTCTCACATAAACGTTGATTATTTATAGTAAGATTTTATGGTCGAAGTACTTTAACGTCTTTCGTAAGAGCATATAGTGCTTGATAACCTCTTCTTGTTCGCTTTTCGGACTGTCTTAAGCAACCGAGATCGCCTTCATTGAAATCGCGCTGCGAAAGTTGATTCTGTGACAGGGGCTTATGAGTGAACTGGTGGTTTATGGTCAAATATATATATATATATATATATATATATATATATGTGCGCTTGATTCCCTAAATACAGCGTGCTTGTGTTTGCCTGTGAAGGAGTGTGGGCCGGCTCCGTTGATTAAACGTGGTTCCCATCCGCATGCCTGCCGGTCTTATTCCTTCGGGTTTACACTGGATATGGGGTATGTGATTGGAGCTGTGGATGGTGCAGCGCAAGCCATCCATGGTCCCTCTGTGGGCGCAGGCGTCCTGTTACTTGCCACAGTGACAGGCAAATCCGAAACCGGATGCCGCCAACCATATATATATATATATATATATATATATTGTAAAGTTCAATAGAAACGAGGACACAGCGTAGCCCTGTCGCACTATGCTGTCAAGTGAGAGGGGTGAGGAATGCTCACTGCAGAAAGTTGCTCTTCCGGTGGTATGAAGGTGAAATGCACGTAAGATGGCCATATACTTCACTGACACCTTGTTCTTAAGCAAACAACACCATAAAGCATGTCGATCAACGTGGTCAAATGCAGCGCGCGTGTCTAGGAATGAGACGAGAGTAGGCCTGCGATAAATGCGGCGGTATTCGAGGAATTGGTGCAGCGTGAAAATTTGATCCACTCATCCCCTACCGGGACAGAAACCAGCTTGCTCTGCACTATAATAATTATGCACGTAATAATTATTCACGCAGTATGGATGCCAATAGCCCGGAGTCAACCGAAATGATGCTAGTGGATCGTTGACCGACACAAGTGGTGCCAGCGCCTTTTTTGAAAAGCGGGACGACAACTTACTAGCTCCAGGAGGAAAGCATGTTCCCTTCATGCCAGCATTTTCCCTTCATGCCAGCATTTTGCGAACAACGAGGTCATTTGGTTCATGATTGCTACGCCACTGTAGCTGAAGAGCTTCAGAGGAACTCTGTCTAAGCAAGAAGACTTAAATCGCTTGAACTATTGAATCGCAAGGCGGAATTCTGCTTCGCTGGGTCGGTCCAGTGGGACGAGATAGGGTAGACAACAAGGTGTACTGCTTACAGACCAGTTGAACTGCAAATGAAAGCGCTCGGTCTAGCGGTCCGAACGCCATTTCTGGTTAGTGATCCGCCTCGCAAACGCCCTCACTAATACCGAGCTTTCTGAGGCCAGTGGACCGAATGAGTTGGAAGGACTTTCAGGTGTTGCCAGAGAGGGAAGCGTTCGCTATCCCCAAAAAACGCTGAGACAAGCAAGCCTTGGGATCCTTGTAACGACTTTGCTTCAGCAGTCGGTTGGCAGAGCAGCGCCGCTCGTTGTAATCTGATTCTGTCTGGATATCTACGACGGTCGAACAGCTCCAGAGAGCTAACAGTGATCCAAGCCTTTAAGGGGCATCGAGCGTATGCAATGTAGTGCGTCAGAAAGTCTCTGTAGCAGGCCAACAGGTAAGATATCGTCAAGTCCACCGTTGAATACCATTGTCGTTTCCATTTCTCCTTCCCTTCCTATTCGCATTCGGTGTTGTTTCAACAGCCATCTTTTGTTGATTTTAAGCCATCCATCCCTTCGCCTCACACTCGGCCCTCCATCAGCGGCCGTGACGATGGCATCCACCTCACCAGGAGGTAGAAGTCAGCCGTATCGTCCAATAAGCTACGACTCTCATAAGGTAGTTGTGATGATTTTATTCAACCGTCTGTCAAGTAATTGTTTTATATTCCTTGTAAGTAACAGGAGTTTAGTCGTAAATTCTAAGAGATTCCTCCTAGTAGCTCATAAGCTACATAGCACAGCCTAGTCCGAAAAAGCACCAGACTCCTTTCGCCTTATTAGGGCTCGCCAGTGGTGCGCATTCCCTCGGCCCCCTAATGAGGCTGGAACCCTTGACCGCCACAGGCAGATGCCAACTAGCCAGCAGTTTAAGCCACCGAGCCATGGGGGAAGTTGGCTGGGCCACATAATTTGCAAGCTAACTGGGATATAGCACCACCTAGCTATGTAGCTCGTGAACTATTGGGATGAATACCTTAAAAAGTACCTGTTTTGCTTTAAAGTCCCCTCGGTCGCTTGCAACTCACGTGCATCCTGGACACGGTAGCCATCGGAATCCTCGATCAGAAGTACGTTATAGCGTTAGACCAAGTTCATTAGTAGAAAATACTGCAGGAAGCATGCCATTAGATTCACCACTTGCGTAGCTCATCCTAAGCAGGTCAAACAGCTATACGTAAATTACTGTACTGATGAGTGTAACCACGGTGCAAAAGACAGCGGGTTTCGGTGGGTGTATTTGAGACTGCGTGGGACGGTGGACGATAGGTGAGCCGTCCACCTTGCAATCCAAAAGGTCATTGAATCTGCGTAGATGTGGGGGACCTCGCGCTTACCCCGGCACACTCTCGAAGGTGGTGATCACGTGGCAGCGCGGCGTCGGTATGACATGCCGGCGTAATGTTGATGCCTTACACTCGGGACGAGCGAGTGGGTGGAAAGCACTTCTGAAGTGACGAGATGGCTAAAAGCACAATATATAGTAGGAACCATTGGAGTAATGGTTTATAACGAGTGAAAAAGCAAACATTCAACTAGTCTCTTGGAACGACTAAAGTGAAAATTACACGATGTAAATGATGTTAACAAGGCACAAGCTGCCTAAGTCATCGAGAGGTTTGCATCAGCACAGTTACAAGGGTGTATGATTAGTACAACATTTGTTCACTGGTTATATCACATAGTGTGAGTGTGTTAGTGTATCATCAAGTCGTCTGTTGAATAGTATTAATGTAGAGGAATTAGTTACATGCGCTGGGGGAGTTCCAGGCCTTTACAATTCTGAGAGAAAACAAATCTCATGGACATTCCAATCGGCTGTACTGTGTGACCAAGCTGAATCTATGGCTACTGAGATATGCTTTTGGTTGGGCATCAAAATGTGGTAACCAAGTATGGTTGGGGTATTTTAAGGTCTGTTACATAATTACGAGATCTTCCCGCAGACGCTCATAACGTCCGCTGAACATTCCTGGAGTTTTCAGCCTGAGTAGGTAGGGAAGGTGTGACATGTTTTTAACGTCCTTTGTTGCCTTGTCATGCACTCTCGAGCTCGGTTACGTGGTGCTTCTGCCAGGCTTGAACAGCGTACTCCGCACACGGAATCATCTATGAATCACACATCTCTACGAAGAAGGCCGAAGTGCTTAGTTGCCTTTTCAGTCTGCCTCAAACGATGAAAGTCATTCAGCATGAGCACGTCAAGATCGCAATCATGAAAAGTCCACTGTAGAATTTGTGTTCCTAGTCGGTATTTGTGAGTACTCTAATGTTGTATGCTGAGAAATTTGCAGTTTGCTGAACTGGAACCTATTCTCAGTTTACCATGTTTAGACTTTATCCAGATCGCTTTGCAGAGCTGTGTGATGCTCCAGTGTAGTGATGACACACCATATCTTCAGCTCATCGGAGGATAGAAAATTCAAAGACAGCACCTTGGCTAGAAAGTGTATGGAGACTAGAAACAGGCGTGGTCCGAGTACCGAGAATTGAGGTAGCTGAACTGGGCTTCGATATGGTCGGATAAGGTGCTGCGAACCCACTTTCATTCAGGTGACGTTGAACAAGAAACTCACCTAGCTAACACAGAACGGGATCACAGATTCCATAATTCTGATCTGTGTGCAGTAGAATGAGATGATCCAAATGGTCAAATGTATCTGAAAGCTCCAGCTAAAAAACATCTATTCCTATCTCGGTGTCGATCGACGCCATCAAGCATGCAAGGGCTAGCCGTAGATTCGCAGTTCGTGACCGATTCTGGCGAATTCCATGCTGAATCGGAACAATGATTATGGTACTCACTAGGTACCCCATGTGTGTACCCACTATAATGGACTACATAAGTTTGGAGAGCGCCGGAAGTAATACTATCAGACGATAATTCTCTTGTTCTACGCAGCTTTTACTCTTGTAGATTGAAGTGACGATTCCGTGCTTCCACACCGTGTGAGCCAGCAGCTCATTAGGGAATCGTTGGAAGAACCAGGACCAGAGTCTCAGCCAAACTCATGGCAGCCACCTTCAACACTTTTGAGCGCATATCGTCTTCATCCAGGTAGTTGTACTCGCGCAATCACTCTAAAGGATTTAACACATCCATGGCCGTAAACGGTTTCGCTATGCCTTGCCCTAAAGGGATGTAAAACAAGAGCACGATTTGGAAAGTATGGCTGAATTGTTGTTCAAGAAAGCTGGTGACATATGTGCATTTCGCGCTGTCCCGCATACCCGTATGAAGAACAGGGATTTTGCGTTGATTAATTGTTTTTACGTTCTAAAGGCGCTTCGGCATACAGTTAAATCTCATCACAAAGTCCTGTTTGTAGTTCAGTTTATCCTCACGGGCTAGTCTGACGTAGTGATTCCGCGGTGTTGCATAGACAGTACAGTGCCCATGCTTGAAGGGCTATGTTGGGGCGCGAAGTCATTATGCATTTCTGAGTTTTCCTTCTCATGAATGACTTCACGTTTGAGAGTGGTGGATTCTGACTTCTGAGGTGGTTGCGAATAATCTGCTGTGCTGATTAAATAATTTACACCAGTCCACCTCACGGGACTATTTTTCTAGGAACGACTAGCTGATTGCGCCAATGGGGCTAGACAGATGATCACAATGGGTTACAAAGTGTGACTTTTCGGTATTATCGCTAGGGTATCCTGGTTAATACTTGTAACACGATACTAATTCCGCATAATCGCTGGGGCCCAAAAGAGCGTGCGTCGTCACCACGACGATCCTCGTTGGTAAACACGTGGTGCAACATAGTCGGTTTGTTTCCCGTCTTGAATCGCTTTATAGAGGTTAGATAATTGGACAATTGTGTTCCAGTTAGTGGCTCTTGCAGTCGACAGGTCGTCGAAGGGGTTATGGTGTCCTTCGTAGTGAGTTTCGATAGTTACATCGGGGTTGCACACATCGGAGCTAGAATTTGATAGGCTATAGCCAAGGTCGTTTTTTCAGTTCAGAAGTGCCTATACAAAATATAGTACTTGCTGTTCAAGATGGGTTATTTAATATACTGATGTGTCTCAACAGAAAACAAGGTGTACAAATATTCTTAAGATTTACAGTCTATATCAATGCCTTAGCTCGAGAATAAAACTGCTCGATTGCCTATGGATAATACCGTACCTTAAGCTTACGTAGAATTTTGTGTCACCTTGGGTTCTGTAACACCAGCCCCTTCTTATGAATGTTATGAGTTTCGAGGGAGCGTGAGGTCTGTCCACTCCCCGTTTATCATACACTGCTCATCCGTTTGTTTCAAATAGGATTCGTACGGGCGCACCGTGTTGTATATGTTGGCTTTGGAGGGCGTACTCGAGGTCGCCGACCTAATTCTGCGGACTCCTTCTCCTGGAAAGGCCCACTTTCCAACTGGACCCGCCACCATGTTAGGAGCAAATCCCGTGTTGGCGGACGACGAAGGTCGATGTCCATTACACGTGGCCACTTGGCAGGGACATTTAGCCATGGTTCGACTGTTGTTACAAGTAAGTGACCCTGTGTTTTATGTTCCCTATCCGTGGTTTTCGTTGCAAATGATTCACGGCTATCGGTCATTCCTGAAATTCATCATGCGGATGATAAATATAGTCTTAATCGCTATAGATGCTGTACTCTGTGCCCACATTCCTTATTGTTTATTCTGTTCAAGCAGAATTACTCGACTTTAGACCTGAACTCTGGAAACATGGGATAGCAGCAGACGATTGTCTCCGCCATTAGAAATTTACCGGTGAATCCTCAGTGTATCTGTTGTACGTTTCGATAGTTACCGGTACTCTTGCTCGTTACAAGGAGTTATCCGTGTCTTCTGCTCAGCTCCTTGGCTCTCGATTTCTCTTCGTATCGTATGTTTGACTTTCCGTAGTTACCACTTACTTGCCGGTCGGTATGACCCATCCCAGAGGACAGCGGTAATTCACAAGTATTTCTTGCGTTCCACAGGTTAACTTTTTGCTATCTCACTACGTCCAAGCATTCATACTCGTTACTAACACGATGAGATCGGAATTGAGTATTAGGCTAAACTTATGTCACTACGCAGAGGAGAATTGATTAGTAAAACTGAATTACATCGAACTGGCCGTCGCGCCTTCACTCTCAAGATTTCATTCGCTCTTTACACCATGTGTGCTGACATTTCAGGCCGGCACCCCCGTGGACATTAGGGATCGCGAAGGCCGTACCCCACTTCACTTGGCCGCTTGGCAAGGTCATGTGTCGGTTTGTCACGCACTGCTCAACGAGGCCAATGCACGTGTCGACGCTGCATGCTGTCAGGGGGCTACTGCGTTGTGTATTGCCGCACAAGAAGGTCACCTGGAAGTGTGCACGATACTCCTCAACGTAAGTTGTGTAATGCAGTAAGTTGTAGCGTTGGTAACCTTTTGCCTATGGACAACTCGCACAGTTATCTGTCTTTGGCTGTCACGCCGCACATTTTGATCGTATGATCGGCTCCATCCATTTTTACTCTGCTGTAAAAGGTATCTGCCTATTTCAGCATTAACGATATTATAATTACTGCACTCCGGTTTTTCTTATTTTACATTATTTCTTATTTCATTGTTGGCCACGACTAGGCTGATCTCCTGTGGTGACGGATTATAGCTTTCAGATTATAAAACACTACGTATGCAAGACACATTGTCACTAACTGGCTGGCGTATTAAAAGTGCCATAATTGATTGATCCGCATGACGGACTGGGCTGAGGCTTCATCCCTCATAATACATGTACAAAAGCAGCCCTAAAAGAACATAACATATGATAAACAGCTGATGGCTCATATGCTACTATGCCACACCCCGGCACGCGGCTAGGTATTGCATGGAAGTGCGGGCGAAACCTTTCTAGGGAATACCTTGCATGGAAGCAGGTCCCCTGAGGACGGTTCCATGGGTGGCCGTATTACTTTATCTGAACATTTGTTTAAATCTGTATTTGTTAGTGTTCCCGGTTTTTCAATTCCTTTAATACTTTAAACCTGCCAATTACTTTAATAGCTCTTTTGGATCCATTGTATACTGCGTGAGCAATTGCTTATTTTGTGCGATCCTGCTGTACACATTGATCGGACCACATAGTTGGACTGTGCCTCGCAACGCCGAGGAACATACCATTTATTTTATTTTATTTTTATTCACCCTGAAGTTGCTCAGATGGCTAGCTAACATTCGCGGAAGTGTCAGACGACCGCTCCATGCTTCCGTGCCTCGTCGTCAATATCGGTTCTCTCAAACTGATGAAATGTCTTAATTGTGTCTTTGACTTTGAGAGAAACGGGCTGTCGTCTCTAAAACAATATAGGCCTTGGTGTTTTATAATAGTTACAATTTTCTTGGTTGTTTGTCTCTCCACATCCCGCTTAGCTTCCCCTTCCAACCACGATCTCGTGCTTGACGCATAAATGTTACTACGTAGTGCGTTGCCTGTTGTTTTGCACTCTATACTGTTCAGTATCCTGCTTCTTTTGTATACCTTATGTATTGCGGCACAATAGTTGAAGCGTGTTTCGCACCTTCAGCTAATGTGTAATAATGGTGAGTTGGTAACCAGTTCACCGTTAAATCTTATGTTACAGACTATTGAAAGGCATATGTTTTGTGCCATGTTTGAAATGCGAGCCTGGAAATTCACCACCGTCCCTAATTGCTCTTCGTCGAAATAAAACAGATTTCGTAACTCAGTTATAAACCGAAAAGACACACTATTTCGATCATGTCGGATAGCAACGGGTATAACCCATCTTTTGTTTGGGATAAGGTGAACTTAAGAGCATTTCCTAAAGTGGTGTTCTGGCAGCTGAGCTCAGACTTAGGGCTACAACCACCCGGAAAATATCAGACGCAGATTTCACCAAACGTGACTCGTCCACTATGCATATTCACCGTCTAAAGCGACGATAGTTCAGGTTGTACTCGGCGATTTATTCAAACGATCCATTTGTGATAGCAGAAGTCTATGTGTCTTAGTCGCTCAATGCGATATAGCACGTCTAATCGTCCATTGTCAAACACGTTACTGTAATACGGAGGACAGAGTTGGCCCGAGAGGCAAGACTTCCCCCATCAGGGGGTCACTGGTTCGGATCAGCGCAGGTGCGCGTGGCGTCGTGATATACTCAGTCCCCACGCGACAGATGGCCGTCGTGTGGCAACGAAGCGTTGGTCCGATATGCCTGCTTACTACCGATGTCTTTGTAGTAGAAGAATTTCAAACTGCTTCATCAACTCCGGATTCAGGGACGCAAACACTACCATCCGGAGAAGCTACGGAAGACCGCTTCGTTCTATTGGGATTCCTCAGTGGTATATTCTACTCGATCTCTCCAGAACAGAAACCTATGTACGCTCAATATGTGAACCGTGGGACGTTGGTGGATTATGGGTAAAAAGGTAATGCTTAACAAGTCCTGTGAGACGGATATAATGCGATAGTTTGCCAACAGAACCATGGCCAAATAAAGGGGAAACGAAATACACCATGTGAAGAAAATAAACTATTTATTTTCGGGTTTAGAAACACCGTTGTGAAATTTTTTGTGTGTTTTAGAGTTTCCTATTCCATGGGATATTAAGTAACATGTAACACGGTTGAGCAGTACTGTCTCCACTGATGCCTGTTTCGTGCCATTGCCTTCAACGTTTCTAATCACTAGCAGTGCGAATCGCATGGTCCCCATCCTAGAAGGTGGACCGTTCCGAGGGATGCTAACCTTGTTGCATTTTTCATGCTCCTTCTCCACGTCATTGGTTGTCCACCGCGGCACATTTTCCACTCACTTCCGGGGAGCGCAAATAACGCTCGACGCGGAAGGCGATGGACTGGCATGCGCAATACTTGGCCGAGTGAACGCATGCGGTCGGAGAATACCCGTTTGGAGGCATGAGCTACCTGCTCCAGACACTCGCTCTCGGACTTTTGCGTTACTCACGTGATACTGCCACCACGCGAGACGGAGGTTATTAGGACATCAAAAATTCATGATAGAGCGAAAAGCTTTTTGTTGGAGTCCCCAATGACACACCCAGAAGAGCCAAAATGTTCGCGTGAAAAGAGTATGAACCTACTAGTTGAACTTTTGGAAACGCCGCTTGTTTGAATTTTGTGTTCTCCCGGCTAACATAAGTTATAAGACGAAATGCCAAAAGGACATCGCTTTTTCAAATCGTTCTTTTAATATCGTCAGATTGGGAGCGGAGACGACAGAATTTGGAAGAGTGTTCAACGGCTGACACACTCGGAGGGGAAAGACATTGCTACAGCATTTCAGCTAGCTATACTTCATTGTCAGCTACAGATAATGATCTCTCAGGTTAGTGTTTTGGTTTAGTTCCAACAGCGGGCATCGAATGTGGCCTAGATTCTTAAGGATCTGGTAAACGATTGTGAGGTCTCTCACAATTGCTGATGTCGACTCCTGTGCATTCCTGCGGACTTCTATCTTAGCTGGTAGGGCAGATGGATGAGGCCCCTAACGTTTTTGGTTGCCCCTTCGTTGAGGAGTATCGAGATCAGGGAGGTGCTGTTTCTGCCATGGATGCCACATTTGGATGGTGTATTGCACGTGTGGCCTCACATAGGTGTTATGCATTTGTGGGGAAAACGAGAGATCTAACAGACCGAACGCTCTACGAAGAAGGTCGACGTATTGATTGATTAATGGTTCTAGCGTCTTCTCTGCTTGTTATCGAGCATCCGGAATCATCCTGTACGTCATGGGTGATCGGAGTAGCAAACTTTTGGTCCCCTTCATGGACTGGCTGATTGTGACAGTGTGATAGGGAAATGTCCGAGTTAACAAGGCACCAGTTACTTTTCATTTGGTGTCACACACACTCAACAATGCAACTCGTACCCAGTCTCAGCTTCTCCAGTGTTCTCTACTCGGAGAAACATCAGCTGACGTCTGAACAGGTGACCCAAAATCTTCCGACGAAACTGCCGGCGCAATTAGCTAATTTGACCGAGCGTTTGTAGTTTGGTCCAGTTAACAGCCCACTTCACTTGAAATTTACTCTTTCATTGCCACGTAGTGGTTCTACCTATCCGCTGCATTGTAAACGGTACTGTACTTCGATCATCCAAATTACCTTGACTGGATTGCAGTCTTTTCTATTTCCCAATCTGCCATATATTTCCCCTAGTGTTTTGATGTGTTTGTGGTCTGTTTACGAGAACAGCTCATGTTGTATGAATGCGAGATAATCGTGGAGGCCGGTTTGGAAGCAACAGGAAGTCTTTATTCTATTTCGTTACCTTTTGGCATCGGTCAAGCGGCTAGAATGAGGCTAGCTGTTTGATGGTCTGCTTCCGAACCATCACACCATAAGCTGATCGGAGGTGCTGGATATTACTTGCTTGCACTATGTTGTTGAATTATTCTAGTCGGTAATCTGAGACCGTTTTTCCGCGGGCAACTTCAACTGAGTTTCCAAACCTTTCTTTTGGTTCGCTCGCGACTGCTTTGTACAAATATCGCATTCTTCACAAACCGGTCCTTGTGAGTGACTGTATACTCTGCAAGTTACTGCCATCTAGAGTTTATGGATGAATGTCATCAGAATTCAACCTTCAGTCGCCTAAGTAAGTGAGATTACTGCTGCACACGGAATTGGCGCAAATTGCGAACAGCCTTAAGCGTTTTTCACCTGCCAACACCACGGAGTTAACTTGATCTGTTTACCAGTAATTCATCGTCCGTGCGTTGTGCGCAGATTCGCATGTGTGCATTCAGGACCGCTGCACTGAACGCCGCTTACACTGATCAAGTTACAACCGACCCAAACGATCGGTTCCGTTTAGCAACGCTGTACCAAACTTCCTAACCCCATGCACTATAACTGTGTTGTTGCACCCAAAACATTGTACTATGCGCGGTTTCCCGCATTTGAAACTGTTTACATCTGTACCTGGTGGTACCTAATAATATACTTTCAAACTCAAGTCCGGGAAATTCTAGGATCCTACTCAATTATTTTTAAAGCACGTGTACACAACAGTGTATCAAATCAGCGATATGGTAGTGAAATTTACAGAGCATTGCGTACATTGTCGTCTTCATTTTAACAGGCTGGGGCGAACCCATACCAAGCGGACAGTCATGGCCGAACCCCATACTGCGTGGCACTTAAGGCGAACCACTTCGAGATTTGCGGATTGCTTGAAACCGCCTACGGAATTGGACTTTCCACCAGGCTTGCGTGCTCTGCCGCCAACGCCACCTTCGATTCCCATGCTGTTGTGTCCACACAGCCGCATTTGGATAGCACAGGCGTAGAGAAAGTTGGAGGAGCATTGGGCAGGTATTCAACGTCTGCGGATGCATCTGTGGAATCCAGATTGATTGTTCCGTCCTGTTCCACACCCATATGTGTGTCGTGTACGAAGGTGGAACGCTTTGCCTATACACCCCCGACCAAATTCGGTAAGTAAAGTTAAAAGAAACCTTATACACCGGCGTTGAATTTTCAGGATTTATGATATCATTGAAGACTTCTTTAAACCCAAGGTAACTTAGTGAGGAGCTAGGGAAAAGTGTAGTGTAAAATGCTTGCAGCTGTCGCTCTGCCAAACGGTTACGCACCACAGAAACACCACACGCGTAAGAGTGACAGGCAAAGCAGGACAGCTTGACGATAAGGTGGAAAACAAGGGAAAATTTTTGAATTTTGCCCTCGCGGGGGAGATTTTGCTAAAGTACTATGTTGGTGAAGAAACTGATCATTAGCACCAGTGGGGCGGAATTCACGCACTCCTGACTTTAAGAAGCAAACCGTAAAAATAATGTCTAAAACAATGGAATAATGGACTTATCATGAATAAAATGGCAAACACTTCACGGTTCTCTGTAGATAAAGAATATGATCATAAATGAATGTATTAAAAACCCGTATCTGCGGACTTACCGTCAATTGTATGTGTACACAGTTTGGTTACTCTGTCCCGGGTCCAAGTAACTTGAGTTAACTCACGTACTGAAGGTGCTGTAATGTATCATCATCAAGTCGAGTTTTGAATTCAGCGCTGACCGAATGCAGAAGAGCATTCCGGCGGTATTCCAACTAGCTATACTGTGTCAACAAGTTTAAATGATGGCCTCTCATTGATGTGTTGTGGCTGAATTCCAATAGAGGTCGACATGGGTAGTTGGAATTCATAAGGATCTGATATACCAATGAGATCATCTCGCAGAAAACGATGTTCTTCACTGAAAGCTAGCAGTATTCAGTCCAAACTAGTAGTGGAGGTGGGGTCATCCCTTGTCATCTTTTATCGCTCTTTCTTGTGGATTCTCAGAAGTAGTAAGATCATGTTTTGCCATTGGTACCACAGTTGAATACCGCATTCTACATGTGGCTTCATGTATGTGTTTTAGGACTTGCATGAAAATGGTAGGATCAAACTGGCCAAATGTCTTGCAACCGTTTTAGTAGCACGCGTGCCTAAAGTGATTGGAAACATGAGGAATCCGAGATACTCGGTGATGTACGTTATGTATACTTCAATCGCCGACAACTACAGCAGAAGAGATTTGTGCAAGGAGCAAGGAGTCAGAGTATGGATCCTCTCACAACCTTCTCCAGTCTTCTTTGCGACATCAAAATTACGTGGCGGTGAGCGATTTGCACTCAAAAGCAACATCATTTGCGTATTCGCGTGTCGTGAAGGTGGAAGCTGTAGGAATTCTCAAATAGTTTCCTCCAGTAGTTTGAACAACGAATTGAGAAGACGAACATTGGGCAGATGCTATGATTTCATGTTATCTTGTCAGCAACAATAAAATAACTGGAAATTCTTTCTATAAGTGTCATAGGGCACAGCCAAGCCAATCGAGTTCATGGTTACGGTCATTGTTGTTGTCATTAGGAACACGGCAACTGCAGGTTGACAACTAGGTGCTTTTGGACACATAAAGCTGGTCTAATTCGACTTATCGCGACGGCCTTGCTAAATTGCAGAAAGCGTGAATTTGGACGACGCAACAAGATCCGAAACGCCGCTAAAGGATTAATCCGGTGACGAGTCGCCAAATTATGCCTGACTATAGAGGGGGATTGATTAACTTCCCGCTTAACCCAGTTTGGTAAGTGTTCCTTTACTCTGGAATCCAATGCCCGTTCGGTTCGGCTGATATAACTGACGCCGCAGTCACACACGAGTTGGCAAACACACTGTAAGTTGGCGCCGACGGGTAACAGCAACTTTTGGGTTCTCTTGAAAATTCCCGCCTCTGTAGCACAGTACGTACGCTGAATGGCCGAGAGCATGCATTTAGTTGTCCTTCTTTCCTTGAATGATAGCTCGATGTATACCTTTGACTATGGGGTTGTCAACACCGTTTTTTTAGGCGGAATAACCTGGTTACTTTTGTCTATGAATCACGTTTTATTGATTAGCTCAGTTTCCTCAGCCAGACAGTCGTTGGAGCAGATACTCCTGGCCTGAGTGAATAGCGTTTTCACCAGCACCCGCTTGGGTGTCATCGGTGAGAAGCTGATGAAGTGTAGCTACTGGCCGGATCATGTTGGCTTCTGGTATACAGATCGTTTAGTGAGTCCATTATTCCTGCGACTTATGGGAATGTCGAGATATGGAAGACGCATTTACAAATAGAACTCAAAAGTCATCTTCAGATTGGTATGATCACTATTAAGTTGGTCTGCTAATCGTTCGATTTGCGTCTTCTTGAAACTGGAAACAAGGATATCATCTACGCTTCGTTTGTGATACGGCAGCTGATATATCTCTCCACTCAGCTTCCTTTTAGACAGTCGCATGAAAGAATCAGCCAGCTGTAAAAAGTGTTTAGTGTGAGGACCGGACCATCCCCTATCGGTCTGGCTGATATACACTAGATTTATCTACCTATATTACTTTTATGCGTCGTTGCCCTCAGCTGGGTGGCACCAATCTTGCCCTCCGTGACTGTGCAAAAAGCACTCACCGTTGCATAGTTCTTCCGGAATAGAACGGCTAACTGTCTAGGTTGGAAATCGGGCAGCTAGAAACCGGTTACTTAAATGTAAGGATATCACAGTTCCAGCACTTCACTTGGCTTGTAGTTGTGTATAATCGAGCTGATCATCATCGAGTTTTGAAGTAGTGGTCATGTGTATAGATTGCAGTATGATATCTCTATTGGGACTACAGTTGCTGTCAACTATCAGACAGACAGCTTCTCACATGTTCTGAAGGCAGCAGGTGATGTTACGTCCTTTTGGGACTCCTTAGTAGCATGCATTTCCCCGCCTTACCGGGAACCGAACGCGGCCTTTCGACTCCAGCTTTTTATGCCTCTAGGCCTTCATGACTGCTAGTTAACTGCAATCTAGCGCGGCTCATGCTTCATTGCCACGCAAGTTTCGAACCTTGCACAAGACATGTTTGGCCCTTAGGACCACGGCATTTCCCACAGGAATCATTTACATAGCAGTTAGAAGCTGCCCGGAGGAAATTGTGGTCAATTATGAATAGGAACATTCTGATGTAAATTAGTGATTGTTCTTTGAAATCAAATTTCGGCCCAAAAGCCGCGATATGAGGTATCACTCATGAGTGCCTAGCGGCATAAGCCATTGATGTCAAGAGTCTGTGGTTGATTCCTGGTAAAGAAATGTGCACCACTGGCGAGTCCCAAGAGGAAGAAACGGTCGCCTGGTGCTTTTCCAATTGTGAAAGGGATTGACTTAACGTTATCTTTGACGATCCATCTCTAATCGCAGTTGTGTGCTAATGCCTCCGCTTCCTCCTGTAGATCAAGTACTTACTCAGAAGCTAATTCATTTATGACGTTGGAACGCTAACATTTACCCTCCAGTTTCGTGACACTGTTTGAATACTTCACTTAAGAAACAAGTATTCATAATAGCTCACCAATGGTGTAAACAGCTGTTCAACCTCATTCTATTGCTCAGTGGTTATTTGACCGTAGTTACTGTGTGTCCCATATATTTGAATTGTGGTTCGCACAATTCAGCCATGAGTAGTACCTTTCAACAACGCACTTGCGCGCATATGTAACGCATGTCCGGATATCCATTCGGTATGCCAACAAAGGATAGAGCAAAATCTATGGCTTCACCCGCGATTGTGTGCTCCCCAAATGCAGGCGCAGGCATGCGAGCACTTTTTGTCCAACACAAATTGCCAGGTGGACAGCCCGGACAAGCGTGATGAATGATGGTGTTTCCTATCTGCGCGCAAGTGCGTTGTTGAAAGGTACTACTCATGACTAAATTGAGAGGATAGATCCAAACATATCGAACACACCGTAGTAGGTAATGAATTCCCACTAAACGTTAGAAATTCACTTCGGAATCACCTCGGCTCCCATTTACTTTTCTGATTCATTTGGAAAAAGCAAAGTGCACTAACCCCTCTCCCACTAATCTAATACAGATGACGCTAATTCGTATGCCAAACCGCCGGGGCCCGTTGCGTTACGGCATCCAATGTACCCTACCGCTGAAATGTACCAACAGAATGTAATCCAACCACTTATTCCAAATCACGGTCGAATATCCTCGCGAAAGCACTCAGAGCGATGCGCTCCGGCATCGGCGCCTACAAGTGAGTCCGAATCACATTCGAAGCCTCCATCCCAGTCGTCTCACTGGGCGATCGACATGGTTCACTCGAATGATAAACGACGGTATGCGGGATGCAGCCGCGTTCAACCACCTAGTCAGCTTGCTATCAATCCACATGGACTCGTTTATCTTTCTCCCATATCCGAGGCAATGTCATCCGAAGTCGGGCAGATGTGTTATCTACCCTTGGCCGTGAGTTCAACTCCGAAAATGTGTACGTCTTCTGGTCTCCACTCCCCACCTCGAGCTGCTGCCCCAGTGAACCACATCCAAATGGGTGTTGGCTATTGGGGTGCTGGTCATTTGAGCCAGCCAGGCTACACACAAGCTTACCATGCCACTGTTCAGGACAGCGATTATCAACGTAAGTGGCTAGTGAGTCTTCAAGGTATACACAATTTGAACGATCCTAAAGATGACGGCTTTAGTGCTTTGCATTACGTTAGTATATTTCGCTACTCATATATGCTACATTGCATAAGTGAAATAAGTTCGCGTACTCAGTAGTGATAAACTGCTTTTTACGATCTTTTAAGAGAAGTAACAATTCGCCCTTTCCGTTTGTGTGTTTCCGCAGTCCTCAAAGCCTTGATGAGGTTTTTCAATCGTTAGTAATAATGGTTCCACAGTGACACAGTACACTCGCGGTCGCACTGCTAATGCACACAAAGTCATCTACATCATTTTCTCACCTTTCTCTTACCGGACATTTTCCCACTATCAGATCACGGTTACGGTGTGTCGGTCAGGAGCCAAGTTCAAAGAAACGCATTTAACTCAACTCCAACAACACAATTCACTCAGGCTAACAAAACACCCCAGTTGTACGCACCGTATGACTGCCCTCCACAAGACTCTCTTCAGTCGGCACTCTACATGGGCAGAGTCTCGCATCCACTTCAACCGCAAGGGTCTTCAAACGACGCCAAGTACGTTAGACTTCGTAAGTCACAACAAAAACAAGCCGAGACACATCCGGCCCGTTATCAGGGCAAGACAGTGGGTACTCACACTGGTGCGTCACCGACACCGATGTTGTTCCCTGAGCACTGTGTAATCAGCCCGACAAAACGGCGAGACAAAAGCGGCCCACCCATTAGTATATCCCCAAGTGAGTTATCCAAACAACCAGAAGAGTCTATGAAGCTCCGCGGATCATGCGCCTCCGATTCGCCTCGCCAAGTGCCGCCCATGGAGAGTAGGGGAGTGTCCGCGAAAGCCGCTTTAGCTGGGATGTTTGGCCTTGGAGCACGACGAAGTAAGAAAATAGACAAGAAGAACCAGCTGTCCAATGCATCGGGCTGCAGTTCTGTACGGCCATTTCAAAGTCAGCACCTAATCCCATTTAAAATATCCTCATCTTGTGCCCATACAGGGGACGTTCCTCGACAAGCTAATCATCCACGTGCCCTCGTCCCGCAGCAGCGTCCTAACTGGTTGGGCAATGAAGGGCAACTTTTAACCCCGGGTGCAATGCATGCTCGAGATGGACAAGACTCCTCCCGAACCTCAAACTCTAGCATCGCTATCTCTGAATCGGACAGGTCCGCTTCTGGTTCAGTGCAGTTTGAAGCGATAGCCAGAAGACTAGCCTGTTGTTCCATTATGGAAGAACTCCCTCCACCCTCGAAGACAAACAATGTCCCATGTGTGGGGAAAAGCCCTCAACGTGCGGTTAAACCGTGTAGTCCACAGACCTGGACAAACCAGAATTCGTCAAAAGAAAAACACTGCAGTCACTAATCACAAAACATGAACCAATCGCCTAGCATCCATTGGCAACGTTGACTTCATCAAGATCCAATATACGTTTTGTCCAGAATCATTTCAGGTTCAAGACATATTATCTTCAGATTGTGCTACTTACTATTTGTTAGTAATCTGTTTTAATCACAGAGTTCCTGGGACGAAATTCCTTTAGAAATTCATACGTCCGCCCTAAAGGACGGCTCATGGAAACGGCATAACCCACCTGATGATCTTGTCATTTGTACGAAAACGTGTGCTTTCTCATTTACCCCAAGAAGTTATGTTCGTGCCTTACATGAAACTGTATCGTGTTCACCCTGAATTATTGTTAATAGAAACTCAGATCGTGAATTACTGTTGTATGGATTGAGAAGACATATTCTAACAGCCATACGGTGGCACTGGTGAGTGGATAGTTCGCCTATACAATTGTTTCTGGGTGTATTTAACCTAACCGCACCTAAGTCAAACACCTATTTAGAGAAATATAAAGATACACCAGCGAAAAATAAATAATGCTTAAAAATATGGATACATAGTTCTGTGGTTCCCGACGAGCTGGATACGTTTCCAAATTAAAGAGCAATCGTTGGTATATAAACAGTATTGTCATTTTAAGATGCTGTACTACATCACGGGGCTGGTTGCAGTAAAAGCCAGTTCAAATTCACGGCATGTTCGAATAGAACTGTGTTCCCCTGGGTTTTCAGCACTTCAGCTCAGCTGTTTCCTGACTTGTCCACTTAGATTAATTCATTCAAAAAACGTGATATTTGAGGCTTGTTTTCCGCTAACTTATGTAAATTGATAATGCACAGGTTGGCCTACTGAGTACTAGTTAAGCACGGAAGAGGTTGGAACACCGGACCTGAGGAACATTAAATATCTGGCGACCTAGCCAGTTCACGACAGCAATCCACGAAGTTTATATTGTAGCCCTTGAAGCAATCGTTAACTTACCTGCTATTGTACTGGTTGTCGTGGAATTTCCCGGGAATAATATACCGCGCCCATTAACTCTTGTAGGTGCATAAGTTGCTACTGGTATGGGCCAATATGGGCGCTGAGGACAGCGCCTGCTAAGATGGGGGGATAATGTAGCCGGTCCACGTGCGTCACGGTAACACATTAACAGAAAAGAGGTAAATACATTTTGCTTCCTCTTAGCCTTACCCTCTTATTATTCACCGGTAATTTTAAGTTCGTTTTCTATTCTTCCTCAGCTGCATTCTTTTGATCAGCCCTTTACTAGGTGATTGAGCATCCGGTCGTCTACGAGGTATTTATTTTATGTTGCAGCTCTAAGGGTCCATTACGGCACGTCCTACCATTTTCCACCTTTCTGATAAGCCATTATTTCTCTTCGTTACCGCAAAAGTGCACACCATTTGAAACCCCGAAGTGAATAGACATGTTTAGGAACACCCACGCTTTGTTCGCTAACTTCCCTAGTCTGCCAAATTTGAAAAGTTGTCAAAGTGCTACTGACCTGTGTAATGTTTAATGAGAAACCAAGCACCAAACAAGCTCAAGTTTGGTACTCTATGAGGGGCGAATTACCAAATATGCATAGGCAGATGGATATTGAGTGCTCCCCACTCGAAGACACTGCACTCCATGACTGATTTTGAATTTATTCGATCTCGTTAGGTCGTACAGCGTTTTCCAGCAGGCAAAATCCACTGTCCAGCCACTTCATCAGTTACAGTCCTAGTGATCGTGCTGACCCACGTTCACTTCAGTGCAAATTGCAGTCCACTTTGAGATTACACGTCACAATCTATTCGCGCTCAGACGGGGAAAACGTTCATCATTTGAAAACCCTAGTGAGGAAGCAGAGTACGATGGAGCATAGAACGAATCCAAGTGTAGTGTTTTACTTCGGTTGAGTAAATACGCACTTCAAAGGATACAGAATGATGATTAATTATCGACATAATCACTTCTTTCCAGGTCTGCAATGGGTGGCCAAGATTGAAGAGGTGTTTACGCGAGCCGTTTTGTGAACTTAACTAGGGGGCTGTTAGCTCAACTGAAAATAGCCATCGCGATATCAACGTACTGAAGCTACCCCACTTGCTCATGCTACAGCCAGTTGTTTGTGACCCCTAGGTGCTCCAAAGATGTGGGCGCCTAGATCATCGTTGTTTGCTCAATATTTAGGTTTCAACTGGGGTCTCCTTGCCACTTCTTCTTATGCTTCACTGGGTACATGCAGCGGAGCGGAGTATCGGTGCCAAAGGTCTCATCTTGAGCGACCCATCAGAATAAGCTATGGACTGGCACCGAGGCATAAACTTGAACGACAAAAAACGATAGCTGTGAGGCACAGCAGTTGCCGTGCAATATGTAACGGCGTCACTCCAAACGCAACTTACAATATCAAAACATCTGTATGTTAGCACCACTTCGAAGTCTTAGTTTGCCCTGCAATACATAACAGTGTGAATTTTGCATGAGACCCCTTAAAATAAGCGCCATGGGTCCTATAGCTTTTGGACATGACTTCTAAAGTCTAGGGGATCGTTTCTGAAAATGACATCCTTCAGGGCAAAGCGTCCTATTGGGAGAAAGCCAAGTAACGGAAAAATATAGCTCGTTCACACGGTGTTTCCATTTATATTATCTAAGCAGCGTCAATACTAGTGACGCAGTTCCACACATAGTGATTCCCCTTTACTGGAGTCAAACAAAAGTCGGCACCTGTCATTCAATCAACGGAGCCTTGTGCGGTTAATAACCGAGGCGGTTCGCTTCCCTTCTGATCGACTGCCTCGTCGTTATGCTTACCCCATCCGATACAGTACTCCAATCATAACGGGACCCAGCCAGTTGGTTATGCAATAGCCTTGGATGAAGACTCTTATACGAAACGAACGTTCCAGTGGAACAAAGTGAAAGAACTTCTAAGAGAGAATGGGGATCTCTGATAACTGTTCATGAGAAACCGCGTCCAGACAGCATTAATGGCCGATGACCAATAGGCTAATTTCAAGTAGCAAGGAGATACCGATTCAAACCACAAAGAGACTCTCGTAGCATGGGATGAGTTTCATCAGAGAGATGACACGCAATGTTCTGCGTGATGTCAGCTGATCAAGTACACAAGTAGTGAATACTTTGGGTGTGATTATGGATAACAATGAAATGATAGAGCTGTAGCTAATATAGCCACGAGGCTGCTGCAAAACAGCCGAACCACAACCACCATGGCCTCGGCTGGCTATTAACTAGAATCATGCAGCAGACGAGTTGGACGGGAAAATTGACCGTGAGTTAGAGTATGGATAATATCCTATGGGTAGATGATCACAATGTGCCGACGCACTCCCACATTTTCTCTGGACTAATGTTCGAGTACACCAGTACACAGTTGGAAGTCTGAGCTACACCCCGGAACTGGAGGCGTCTAAGTCGACGTTTCGAAACCTAGTGGGGAACATGTGACTACATCGACGCACCATAGAAGTTGGATCGTCATTCCGAATAGGCAGGCTTGGAAAAAATGAGGTCTCGTCCAGCTGTTATCTGCTGTAAATCTACAGCCGTATTGCCATTGTGTTATTGTGTCACTGTGGTCGATTTCTGTGTGTCGTAACGTAACTCGTCCTTCTGAATTAACAAACACCAACTGGTGCTGATTTGTAACTACAGAACATCCGTTTCTGTGTGATAGTGGAAGCACATGTGAGTCTATTAAAACACTATGTCATGGGGTCACACGTGCCAGTGGTCTTGTGATTAGAAAAATGTGAACACTAACACAATGGTTTTCTCGCTCGGTGATCTTAATGGCATTGGGTGGTAGGTTCTTCAAAGGGCAAAAACATCACAAGCATGTGGCACACAAGCAAAAGACATTTCGTATGCGTAGATTGGGACCCGAGCTTAGGAGTAAGAAGAGTGGGTTGATTAGGGACATTTTCCGAAAAATATCCCACTCCTGAAAATGCGTATTAGGTTGGCAATATAGTTATTGCGCTTACTAAACTTAAAATTTAAATGCACATAGCTTGGCTTAGAAGTAACATTTTTACTCAAAATAAAAACCATTTGGATTAACACACATATCAACGGGATACAAGTTTATTTATTCCGGAGGAATAAAATTTCGCAGTTCTGGTGGCGATGACATCGTAGAAGTTGATTTTATCACCTCCTTGGGTCTTACCTCTTTTCTCTAGTAGGAAGTTATGCAGGTGCCTGAAAAAGTGTTGCTCGGTAAGCTATAGCTCGGGGGAGTATAGTGGGTGAATCAAAGTGTCGTAGCCCAGCTCGTGCGGCTTCCGCAGGGTTGTTTGTGCAATCTGCGGCTGAAGCGTATCATTGAGAAGAATTGGCTCCTATATGTCACCAGTGACGGGCATTTCGAAAATTTGCTGACAATACTTTTCCACTCTAATGGTTTAGCCTGGATTCAGAAAGCTGAGGTGGATCAGACCAGCCCACGACCAAACAGTTACCGTAAGCTTTTCTGGATGCAATTTCGGTTTCGGGAAGTGTTGTGGAGATTGATCTTGCTCCATCCATCGAGAGCTTCCTCGTCCACTGGCGTAAAGGATCCACGTTTTATAGCAAGTCGCAACCTGTCTAGGAATGGGTCGTTTTTATTGCACAGAAGAAGGACGGATGACACCACAAAACGACGATTTCGTCGATTTTCATTCAGGTCGTGTAGCACCCACTTATCAAGCTTTTTCGACATTGCAATCGCCCGCAAATGTTTAGAACAGTCACATGCGATACTGCTAATCCAGCAGTAAGATCACGAATAGTTTTATGCAGATCTGCTTTAACTAAGACCCTTAGTTGATTGTCCTTCACTTCCAATGGCCGTCCAAAACGATCAAAATCTTCAAGCCCGTCCTAACTTTCGAAATTTTTGAAACCACCATAGTGCAGTACGGTTATCATTGGTTTCAGCACCAAGTACACTGTTGATATCATGGGCTGTTTACGGTGCATTTCGACCAAGTTTAAACTGGTACAAGAAAATTGCGCAAATTTGTCTTCTGTTATGTTGCATCAAATGTTCTCTAAAGAGTTGAAAACGTGTTTTTAATTTAATCAATCACTATTCCTAGATAAAGCGCAAAACAAGCTTTACCATGATATACAAGATCAAAAGTCAAGTTACTGTGAAAGCACAGTTAGTAAAATAAAAATATCAAAAAACGCAATAACCAACCTAATATATTTGGTATCCACTGTTATTTTGTGATCAAAACACACGGACCAGAGTAATTATCTGCATACCTAATTCCTAGCGCAGTAATCTGTGACCAGTTTAACCCATTCAGAAATTTTGGAGGCGATCAAGAGGAGAAAGTGATCACGGATTGCAGTGAACAAAAGCAAGTAGGGTCGGAATTGGTCTAGCTTCGGACATGATCTCAGCGATCGGAACTACTGTAGCGAATGTGTGATCCAGCTTGAGACTGCGTGTCTTAAACCGCATCCAAAAACTAAGAAATGCTTTGAACAACTCCCGAAACAAACGCAAGAATAGTAACAACTGACC